AGAACTCAATGGCCCAGTACCAGCCTGTCTAGGCTGCGGTGGCCAAAAAACAGAAGAAGAAGAAGACTGTCAAATCGTCTTGTACACGGTGAAATAAAAAAAATGTGTTTGTGCGCAGCGGAAAATTCATAAGATACCCTTCGAATACCATAAAATATATCGTGGTAAGTAATAATAAAGTATACGCTAAATTTGTTTTATAAATTTATTTATATTTTCAAAAATAACATGTTTATTATTATTAATAATTCAAAAATTTTTAAAATAATAATATAACAATATTATTCCAGCGAGCCTGTGATATCAAGGCAAGTGGAAGAACACTTTACGCAGCCCTTCGCCTACGCATCTGCCGCCGATGTCACAGGCTATCAGAAGCAATTTTCCTGCACTTCTAGGGGAACAGGAAAATCGACTGAGTTGCAAGATTTGCAAAGATTCTTTATGTAAGCAATACAATAAAATTACTCATTTAACCGAAAATTTTTAGCTGCCAGTAGCCTGTATGTGGTGAAAAATATTAATAATAATATTGAATATTTAGAAAAGCAAGAAACTGAAGAAGGAGAAGAAGGCAAGGAAAGAGAAAAAGAGGGAAAAGAAGGCAAAGAGAGAAGCGAAGAGAGAGAAGAGGAAGAAAAAGAAAGCAAAGACAGAAATGGATACAGCAATTACCACAGCATACGCCGCGCTTTCCTATATAATAAAACAATTATTAAATAATAATTGATACAAATAACTTTAATATACTATTTTATTCAGAATATCTTATCAAAGACGAGTGTTGCTCAGATGCCAACAGGAAGCAGATATAGTGGCGACGAAATGGTGATAATTATATGGAAAATGCCATCCGAAAGCATTTCGAATGGCTTCTCGAATAAATCAAGGAAAGAATCTTGAATGAATGTAGAAAATAAACAAGGTGAAAGCCATTCAAAGTGCTTTCAGATGGCATTTTCCATATAATTATCACCATTTCGCCGCCACTATATCTGCTTCCTGTTGGCATCTGAGCAACACTCGTCTTTGATAAGATATTCTGAATAAAATAGTATATTAAAGTTATTTGTATCAATTATTATTATTTAATAATTGTTTTATTATATAGGAAAGCGCGGCGTATGCTGTGGTAATTGCTGTATCCATTTCTGTCTTTGCTTTCTTTTTCTTCCTCTTCTCTCTCTTCGCTTCTCTCTTTACCTTCTTTTCCCTCTTTTTCTCTTTCCTTGCCTTCTTCTCCTTCTTCAGTTTCTTGCTTTTCTAAATATTCAATATTATTATTAATATTTTTCACCACATACAGGCTACTGGCAGCTAAAAATTTTCGGTTAAATGAGTAATTTTATTGTATTGCTTACATAAAGAATCTTTGCAAATCTTGCAACTCAGTCGATTTTCCTGTTCCCCTAGAAGTGCAGGAAAATTGCTTCTGATAGCCTGTGACATCGGCGGCAGATGCGTAGGCGAAGGGCTGCGTAAAGTGTTCTTCCACTTGCCTTGATATCACAGGCTCGCTGGAATAATATTGTTATATTATTATTTTAAAAATTTTTGAATTATTAATAATAATAAACATGTTATTTTTGAAAATATAAATAAATTTATAAAATAAATTTAGCGTATACTTTATTATTACTTACCACGATATATTTTATGGTATTCGAAGGGTATCTTACGAATTTTCCGCTGCGCACAAACACATTTTTTTTATTTCACCGTGTACAAGACGATTCTGCATCACTTTGACAGTTACCATAACCTATCATAACCGCTGACTATAAGCGTTCAGAGATGGTGGTCTGCTCTCAGAATTTTTGCGCGCTCCGAAAACCATCGAATTAAAAAGTGTTGCAACCTTTTATTGACTGAGGGTGATGTCCCATGCAGCGGATCGTGCGTAATGGATCGTGCGTAAGCGGATTCGCGTATCGCCAATCACAGAATCATTCTCTTAGATCTGTTTGCAAATTTCGCAAGCATATCTAAGAGAATGAGTCTGTGATTGGCGATACGCGAATCCGCTTACGCACGATCCGCTGCATGGGACATCACCCTGACTATACATACATTATTGGACTCTATGCGTAAAATCCTAGGACTCTAAAGGCCTAAACACAATGCGAGGCAATAGCGATAGCGATAGCGATAGACTTAGCGATAGCGATAGACATA